GCGTGTTTGATTGGATATAATAGCATCAAAACGGATATATTTCATATTGCCCTACATGCCAAGATCGGCCGTTCGAAGGTAGTATGCGCCACGCGATCGTGATTTATATTGAAAGTGGAGTCAAAACGCTTCTGCACTTTCTGAATCAGGCATGATTGTATTCTCCTATTTAGTATTAGCTTCATACTAACAGCACACATGCTGAAGAATACCCAGTCAGATCATAGAGAAATGTGATGACTTGCCCAGAGTTGTAAAAAAGATATCCATGATTATGTCAAAAGCACATGGCTTGTCCTATTCATACGCCATGCATAGAAAGTTCAACTAACGCCTGTCTTATTTCTGTCTCATTATTTTCATGGGTGAGGCGGGGGACTTCAATAGATAACTTCCGCTCATTGATCCCTTTGGTATTGTACAGGGCGGCGCGAGTGAACTGTAGTTTATATAATGTTCGCTCTTTTCTGGTTATCTCTAAAGCACAGACCATCACAGTGTTTCTTTATATTCAACTACTATTACGGCATTTAGGAGAACTGGGCTTATGACCCTCGTCGAGGAAATGGATTAAAGCAATATCCTACCGACCTCCCCACAGTGTTCCATTCGTATACAGTGAGTAAGCCGTACAATCGCCATCTACCTCCGACTAAGCGCCAAGCGCCCGATTGTATTTAGCCTAGATGGTGAAGGGATCCGAGGCATCGTACGATTAAGACTTCTGCAGGCATTAGAGAAACGTCTAGGGATCCGTATTGCGCAGAAAACCGATCTCTGCATAGAAGCCAGTGTCGGCACGTGGAATCGCTTATAGTGATCGGACCGCTTGTGCTACCTGGCTTGCTAACCTCTTGGATCACGGACATTTTCAGCGATGTATATGATTCGCTTACAATGGATCGCGACCGCGGTCAGATTCTTGGCCTGTGGCTAGTATAACACCAGCAATCTAGAATATGTTTCTGGAAAAATGAATCCTTGTCGGTTGCTCCACATCTCCACCATAAGCAACGTGGCCTGTCGGTCTTTATTACCACGAGTTGAATGTTGAATGCTGCATGGCAAGGCATATGTGCATGTACGGGCAAACTATGGAGGCACCGGCCACAGAGATGGACCTTCGCCATATGAGTTCTTGCTGTCGAGTTAGGAATTGAAATATTCATGTTTGTTGGAAGCACGAGTGTTTCAACCAATCTTTTTCTCCCATTTGCAGAATGTTCTTAGAGTGCTGAGGAGTCCTTTCTGCAGAGCTCAGTGCAGCGTTGTTGCACTATTCTAATTATCGAAATCGACAATAATGCACCAATTATAGTAAGCAGCGGACAGAGCGGTCTAGACTCAGAGTACAAGCAAAATAATGCATGTGCCCCTGAGCGCCAGTGGCGCAGCTCGACGATTCGCGGAAACTGAAGTCACCGCGTATTGAGCAACTGCTTTGGTTCTTTGCACGATAGCGCAATGGCGAGATTCTGTGCGCCCCACTGGAATAAAAGAAACTCGCTGCTTTCTGGAGATTGCTGCTCTCGAAGAGTAATGTAGGCCAACATTAGAATCCTTATGCTGGGCAATCAGATGAGACCGGCAGCGATGGGATAGTGGGAGTGTTTCAGAGAAAGTTAGTAGTGAGTGCTTATTGGCCGCCGCATGATTGTATCGCTCGGACCTATCACCTTCTTCTCAAAGAACTGGACATATTCCGGCTTAACCAGTCAAGTTGTTATTGGGAGTCAATTGCTTGGCGCTGTTCAGTAGATACTGGTAGGTTGGTAGACAGGTATTTTGCAAAAGCGAGGAGACAGAATGCGTTAACCGCGTTTTGATTCATCTAATTCAAACTGATTGTTTTGAGACCACTGAATAAAGGTTTCGTGGATCTTAAAATTTTAATAAACTCGTTTGTGGCCTGTAATTCCTTCAGATGCAAAATCAGGATACAGAAGGTGATGATATTTAATGTTAGAAGATATATTGCATATGAAGCACCCCTTAAAACGTGACAGAAATAATGACTAGTTATGTAGTACCAATGTTATGCCAGATGACTAATCCAGATCATGAACGGTTTATACATCTCGGAATATCCGCCAGAGCCCATGGGCGGTGAAGAGCTGGAAAACCTAACCCAAAGCGGCGATTGGCGAGGTCGAATGAATGATCCATTTAGGGTCAACAAGCAGAAGGCGGGACATGCACGTGTTGAGAAAGTCGTATAAGTAGCATCATCGTACGACGCGGTCAAGCGTGTCGGTGGCATGATTGATGTCAAGATGATGAATGGATTCCAACTTACTACAATGAGACTCTTCAAGACAAAACATGAAGAACAGGCAGGGCAGCCCTGTTTGTGTCAGGGCTGTGCAAAGGGGCCAAATACGTGCGGGATCCCAGCGTCAGCTAGCAACGCTTTCCCAATTGGGTAGCATTTGCCGGAATCTACCCACTCACTCCGATCTGCCACGCCTCCGGAAGGATCTACCACAACTCCATAGATCCATCGAGTATAGCAATGCTGACAATAGAGTATCTACCGAGTGGAATATTGACTCCTGCGGGATTCACTAAGAATGGCCAGACTAAGTGACCATGGAACACGAAAAGGAAAATGAAGATATATCTATGTACGGGCGCTGCTATCGAAAGGAACCTGTCGTTGACATTGCATGCCACACAGGCATACCTTCATTCAGACTATAACCCTTAGTCTTCAATTCTCAAATATTTAGTCCACCATGGGACTCAAGACACTCTTTCTGGTCCTCGCCGGCCTTACTTTTGTCGCGCGCATCGTGAGCGAGAAATGGAGGCACTATCAAAATGCCAAGCGCATGGGCTGCCGGCCAGCGCCCATGGCTCCATCCAAGGACCCCCTCGCTATCGGCGATATTCTGGAGATCATCCAGGCGGACAAGAACAAGGTGGTGCCTGAGCTGCTCGAGAGCCGCACTAACATCATGCGCGACATCGCCGGACGCTACGTTTCGACCTTCCGTCTCAAGAGAGGTCTGGGTGAGAACATGCTCACCTTTGACCCCGAGAATCTCCAGGCCATGTTGGCCAAGCAGTTCAAAGACTTTTCCGTTGGTGGTGAGAGACTGGGATGCATGGGCCCGTTGTTGGGCAAGGGAATCGTATGTCCTCGTTATGCCTCGTGCTGTCGCCTTACATCTAAATCTGGCCCAAACTGACAATCAACGTGCATGCAGTTCATCAACGACGGCGCCGAGTGGTCGCACTCGCGTACAATGCTCCGGCCCCAGTTCACCCGGGATCAAATCAGCGACCTGCGTCTCGAAGAGCGCCACGTCCAAAATGCCATGCGTGCCATACCCGCCGCTGGAAGCAACGGCTGGACCGAGGTTGACATGCAAAGCATCTACTTTCGCCTGACCCTCGACTCCGCAACCGAGTTGCTCTTCGGCGAGAGCTGCTACTCCCAGCTGGCCGCCATGGGTGACACCGAGGACCACATGGCCAATGGCGGCAAGGTGACTGACTTTGGCAAGTACTTTGACCGCGCCCAGTGGTACATGGCGCAGCGCCTACGTCTACCTCGCATGAAGTTCCTGTACGACGGCAAAGAGTTTCGAACCTGCTGCCAGGAGGTCCACCGTTTCGTTGACGAATGCGTCGCCAAGGCCCTGCACGACCACAAGAAGAAGCAGCAGCCCGAGGAGGGCGCATCCGAGCATTACATCTTTGTCCACGCCATGGCCGCAACCACCAAGGACCCGATCGAGCTGCGCTCCCAGCTGCTCAACGTCCTGCTCGCCGGCCGCGACACCACCGCCGCGCTGCTGAGCTGGACCACCCTGCTGCTCTCTCGCCACCCAGAAGTCTTCCGCAAGCTGCGCGAGGCCATCATCGCCGACTTCGGCACCTACGAGAACCCCCAAAACATCACTTTTGCCACCCTCAAAGCCTGCACATACCTGCAGCAGGTCATGAGCGAGACGCTCCGCCTGTTCCCGCCCTTGCCCACCAACGCCCGCTACGCCACCAAGGACACTAGCCTGCCCCGCGGCGGCGGCCCCGACGGCCAGAGCCCCGTGTACATCAAGAAGGGCCAGGCCGTCCTGTACAACGTGCATATGCTGCACCGCCGCGAGGACGTCTGGGGCAAGGACTCAGGTGAGTTCAAGCCCGAGCGCTGGGAGGCCCGCCGCTCCGGCTGGGAGTACCTCCCCTTCAACGGTGGGCCGCGCATCTGCATTGGCCAACAGTTCGCCCTCACCGAGGCTGGATACGTCCTTGTCCGTATGCTCCAGCGCTTTGACGGAATCGAGGATGTCAACGCCGACCAGAGAATTAGGTGGGGCTTGACCCTGGTCAGCGCTCCTGGTGACACGGTCACGGTGCGCCTCCACGAGGCTAGCCGGTAAGAAAAGAGCAGGACTCTCTCCTTCGACACTCCTTCGACTCTTCTTCGACAAGTATACGACATTTCATTTTCAGCTTGTACAAATTGTCATACTTTCTATTGATGTTTTATTTCTCTCCTTGGATCTGCTGTCATTTTTGTAATAGTTATTCAGTACAGTGTATGGCGGGTACTCTGGAACGGATAGGTTATCTGAGCGTTTTGACCATCACCCCCCACCAGTGTTGTCTGCGCTATTAATGAACTCTATGGTTTCTTTGCTTGTAAATAGTGAGAATAATGAAAATGTCAGGTGGTAAGACAATCTCAGTGTCCGGGTCTAACACGGGCAATTAGCTTTGTCTTATAAAAGCACTAACCGCTAGACCCAAAACGATATATCGCATCTAGTCAAACTAGCGACGGAAAGACTACTGTCCCAACATAAATTACACCAGTAGAGAGCATGAGGTGAGATTGAAACTCCAATTTTGTCTGATTTGGGGTATTTAGTCTATAGCACAAAATCATTCAACATTGCTATCGATGCATAAAAATCATGATATCCTCCGCATAAAACTCGCTACTTTGCGTAAAATGCCCGAAAAAAAATACGTGAATACAGAAAAATAAAGGATCAATACGCTGGTGGTGGCATCGTCTCCGTAGAGACACTATGACCATATTCCTGGTCCAGCTTTGACGAAGCAGCAGCAAGAGTGGCGTCTGAAGGAAGGTTGACAATCATCAGGTATAGAATGTTCTGTGAAAGCCATGGTCAGTCAAAGGAACAACGCCGCCAAGTCAAAGATGAGTTAGACTTACGCTCTTGATGGATCGTTTGCCACCTTCCAGCTCCCTTCTCTTCTTGCGGAACACCTCCAGACGAGGCTCGTAGTCCTTGTCTAACCTTCTCAGCTCGCGATCTGTCTCGGATTGGCTGCGTCGATCGTTCAGGATGCGCTCCTTCCGGTCGTTGTATTCGTCAAGGACTCTCCTCTCCTCTTCATCAATTCTAGCGGCCTTCTTCTGCGCACGCTGCTCCGGGGTAGGACTCAGCACGCCGCCGGAAAGCACGCCAATCAGACCTCCGTTGACGGCCGGATGATTGGGGTCCAGGTAACGATTGCTGAAGCCACGACCCGCCGGCCCGCTCAGCGCGTCGTTGCCGTTCTCGGCCATGTACTTTGCGCGAGCGCGACGGTCGAGGTAGTCGTTGAAGTTGTCAAAGGCCTTCTTGGCCTTTTCCTTGGTTGAAACTTTGCCTCCGGTTGGGGGCACGACATCCCTCTCCGGGGCCGGTGACTCCGACGGAGAATCGGACAGGTAGTTCTTGTGTTGGCGGCGGTTGTCCATGTAGACAAGCGGTGCGACGGCTATAGGAAGACCACCAGGTCCCTGCGTCGAGCCGGAAATGTGGTTACGCATCCATGCGCTGCCGCCGCCATTGCTTGAGCCGTTGACAGCCATTGAGGCGAGTTGCTTCAGACGGCTGGAGTTCTTGGGCTCCTTGAGCTCCGGATCATGTTTCATGATCATGCAGAACAGACCGTTAGGGGCGAAAAGCTCGCGGTTGTACTTGTCCATGACGTTGTTGGTCCTAAGTTAGGGCTGATTAGCACTCATGGCTTCAGGGGAGAGAGGTCGTGGTCGGCACTTACTTTCCTCTGACGTAGCCCTTGTTGGCTACCCAGGCGCCTGCTTGCACTGCTGCGGCGACGCCCATGACGATGACCTCGGGGGTGAAGCCCACGCCGAGAGAGACTACTTGCACACCGGCGAGGTACTTGTTGCCCTCTAGGGCTGTGTTGGTCTCGTCGATGAAGCGCAGGAACGACCTTTGGTCGATGCCGCACGACTCTAGGGATGGTGCGTAGGCGGCCATGAAGCCTCGCTCCTGAGACCCTGGGCGCTGCTGTGGGATCACGACGGGAAGAGGCAATGGCCCTCCCATGGTGGCCATCCCGGCTTGTGAGTCGTATCGGGGGTCTGGGGTGGGTTGCCCTCCAAACATGGGGTTGGGACCGGGCTGAAGCTGTCCGTACGGTGTTTGCCCATACTGTGGCTGGCCATACTGAGGTTGGCCATATTGCGGCTGGCCATATTGGGGCTGGGTATATTGTTGCTGTCCGTACTGAGGTTGACCATATTGGGGTTGACCATATTGAGGTTGGCCGTATTGTGATTGTCCGTAATGAGGTTGTCCTGTTGGGGGAGGTCCATACTGAGGCTGTCCGTACTGGGTTTGCTCGTATTGAGGAGGCGGGTGGCTAGGTGGGTCGTATCGTGTTTGTGGGTGCATGCGATCCTGCCCATGCATGGGCAGCTTCTCGGACTGCGTGTACATAATGTTGGAATTGATCCCCCTTGCTGGAGAATTGCGAGACACCCGTCAGTACTCGGTTGATCCTTGTGTCACGTCTGTGAATATGTGCTTGGCTTGCAGTGGCCCCCAAATCCTAGTGGATACAGTTGTTGATAGCAATACGAGGTAGAGAAAGAAAAAGGGTTAGGCTCGCGGGAGAGTTGCGACCGGGGGGGAATTGTAGGAGTGCAAAGAAGAAATTGAGATAAAGAGAGAGGATTGTCGATGATGGCCAAGAGATGGAGAATAAAAAGATGTAAGAAAGCTGAGAAAAAGCAATGATCGCTTCGGATCTGGTTCCTACATGGACAAGACGCCGGATCGTCCACTGGCAGTGCATCTGACAGTGCCTAACATCCTGCATACCCGTTTGGGATAGGGTTGCGGGATGATCTCCCGCTGTGTCCTATTTAGGTTAGCAAGGTGCAAGTGGCTCTCCGTTTGAAAATGTGGCTGCGGAGCTTGTTGTGTCTTTCTTTGTCCTTTTACTAGCGCAAATGTGACAGCCCCGGGCATTGCCCCTTATTGAGGCAACTCTTGGCGCTGCGGCTTTGACTCTTGTCACCAACACAAGCATTTCACATTCCCGCATACTCGCAGCCGTGCCGCCCTACCCATCCACTTTTGATCCCTGTCGACCGCGACGAACATGTGGCCCCCAAATGGCCGGCTTTCTATGCCCGACGCGGCAAACTGGTAATTCACTACGCCGGTGATGTTTGGTATGCTACTCCATCTGCGGCTGAATACTCCAAGTGGGCTGTGTTGTAACAGGCACCGACCGAAAAAGGCGTGTCGTCTATATTCATCGGAGTATATATGAGCGACGTGTTGGAAGCTTCAAAGCTCATCAATCAATCAATCAACAAACCAACTCACACTCACCAACCCACCAAACCTCAATTCTCCTTTCACTACACTTCCCTAACCCTATACCCCCAAAACCACTCACACATCAACACAATGGCCGCTCCCGCTTCCAAGACCATCCACGACCTTAACGGTTCCTGGACTGCTGTAAGAGACACCAACCAATTCCCCTCCCATCTATGCCATAAAGTTCTGTCCATATACTAAACATACCTATAGAACAACACCCTCTCCGAGTCCTCAGCCGATATCCTCAAGGTCCAGGGCGTGAACTGGCTGACCCGCAAGGTCATTGCCATGGCCAACGTCACTCTGAACATCAGCCAGAGCACGGACGAGACCGGCAACATCCACCTCGACATCGAGAACAAGCCCAGCGGCGGCCTCCCCGCCACCCAGGAGAAGCGTGTCCTGAACTGGGAGCCCGTGGAGCTCACCCACGGCCTCTTCGGCAACATCCGCGGTCGCTCCCGCATCTGCAAGCTCGCCGATCTCGACGACGACTACCTCCGCCAGGGTTGGGAGGACGGCACCGAGGAGGTCATGCACTTCAAGACTGAGCACCTCGACTCCAAGGGCGTCATTACCCAGCAGGTCGCTGGTTTCATTGTCATCGGCGGCACTCGCTACCACGCTCGGCGGGTCCTCGTCACCAAGGATGATGGTGAGAGGCTGGAGGCTAAGCTTGTCTATGACTACCAGGGTTAGATTTAGATAACCCGGGGTGTATATGTATTTGATGATTGTTCGACTGTCGGGGGTGAGCTACATCAAAGGGGGCACAGTGTGCCAGCCTTGAGGCGATGTATATAGATTCTGTTTTCTCTGTTCTTTTTCTCTTTTGTACTTGACGATACCGTTGTTATTTGAAGCTAGGAAAAAAATATTTTGCCTAAATGAAGTCCCTTGCCAAATTCAATTTGAATTGTATTGTTTCTGCGTAATATTTGTCTGTCAAAAGTAGCGTGTATGTTTCAGTGATCACAAGTTGCTACACAAAGGACAGCTCAGACTATGACACCAGTCAAGCGTTTGTACATGCCCTGCAAGGTAAATGAATAAATTATGGCACAAGTTGACACATTTCTGATCACCAGAAACGTCATACGAATCCTGTGCAACGCAAACATCGCGAACTGTAGTAGCCAATAAATCGTAACTTGACTTTGCCTGGAGAAAGACGAGATAGATTTGCATCCACTCTTCTCTAAACCCTTTCTTATTCAATCATGATAATTATCATTATCTGGAATCATTCGAGGATCTACCGTATATATTGAAGTTTTATAGCTTACTGAATTACTTGAGCAATAAAGTGTTATTCTTGCGTAAAACGCAGAATTGAGATGATGAACAATGCTCAGTGTGGCTAAGACGTTGTTGTAGTGAAACTCGAAGATACTTTCTTGGAAGAAATGTTCAACTCTTTACGGTTACGTAACCAAGAAATTGGACAAATGTGAAAATATGAAATATATGATTCGATACCTCTAGCTTCTTCAATAATATTATACGAGTTGTACTTCAAAGCATCGTAGAACCTGAGATAAAAGGGGGGGAAACATACAAGATATTCCACTCTAAGGAACTAAGGCAGCACTACAGAAGGGAGGGAAAATATTGTACCAAGTCTTTATTAACGAGAAAGTAAAAGCTAATATAAACACGACAATTTTAGACAGAGAGAAACAGAGAGAGTGATAAATGAGGACACAAAGCGAGGAAATAGGGAGAGTGATGAGTCAATCTATACAAAGAGAGGAAAACACAGAGAGTGATGAGTAAAGGTATATACAAGAACGAACAAGTCAGATAGAATGGTCAACACTCTACCGCGACAGCGTAGCGAGGCCCTTGCCCTCGGCATCTTGCAGGACCATGTTCATGGTGCTGAATTGGTAGCGGAAGCCGGCAATCTTAGCCTTGCCGACCCAGACGTGGGCCGGGATCTTGGGCCGGCCGCTCTGGGCGTACTCGGGCAGCGAGTCCAGCCTCTCGACAACCTTTGCAATGTCCATGCGGACGGAGCTCAGATGCGAGTACTGCTTGACGTTGTCGCTGGAGATCTGGTTGTCGGTCGAGGTCAGGGCAGTGAAGGCATGGCCGACAATGTCGCGAGACAGACGGTCAGCGGGGATCAGATCGTAGTGACCGCCCCAGGTGGTCGAGTCGGGCAGCTCGGTCATGTTGGCGGCGACGTCGACGAACTCCTGGAGGATCTGGTCGAGCTCCTCACCTTGGGCCTCACGACCCTCGGGAACGGGCAATTGGCGGTGGATGTGGACGGGCAGGCGCAGCTGGTCCGCGTACTTCTCGAGGAAGCGCTCGCTGGCCCACTTGGAGGCGACGTAGCCCTGGGAGCCGTCCGAAGCAGGCTCGACGGTGGCGGCCTCGCTACCAGAAAGGAAGTGGAAGGGTACAATGCGGCGGTGGTCACGCAGGGAAGCGGCAGACATGAGAGCGAGCTCTTTGGTGGACTGGACGTTGATGGCCTGGACTTGGTCGTAGGTGCTGAAGAAGGAACGGTTGGCACCGCTGTGGATGATCATGTCGGCCTGCTGGGCGAGAGCGGCGAAGTCGGTCTCGGACAGACCGAGGCGAGGAGCACTCAGATCACCCTCGTGTACGGAGATCTTGGAAGAAGAGGCGACAACGGCGTTGAACTTCTGGCGGTGGGGCAGCTCGTCAGACAGGGGACGGTGAGCAATGCAGTGGACGCGGCCGATCTTGGGGTCCTGGATAAGGCGTTCCAAAATGTGACGACCAATGAAACCAGAGGCACCGGTGAGGATGACAGTCAGGGCTTGAGCGTTCTTGCGGGTGGTGGAGGAGGTGTCAGCGGGAGAGATGTGGAGCATCTCATCGGTGAGGGCAGTCTCGAGGTCCCAGTTGATGCGAGAGTTGGCCAAGAACTCATCTAGGAGGGCGCCCAGAGCCGATAGCTTGCTGGACTCGATGACCTTGTGGAGAGGAACGACGATGCCAAAAGCCTCGCGGATGCGAGACTGGAGACGGACAGTAAGCAAGGAGTTACCTCCAAGCTGGAAGAAGTCGTGGTTCAAGTTGATGGCCGCACCATCCATAACGGACTGGGGCAGGATCTCCTGCCACAACTCCCAGATCGCCTTCTCAGTGTCGGTCACCTCAGTAGAGATCTCGGCAGCATCGACCTGGGGGTGGATAGGAATAGTGGCAATGGCCAGTCTGTTGACCTTTCCGTGGGAGTTCAGGGGAATGCGGTCAAGCGGGATGAGCATGTTGGGCTTCATGTACTGGGGCAGGGGTACCTTGTTGAGTAGCTGAGCGAGGTAAGTCTTCTGCTGGTCGGTCGGGTAGCCGTCAGCAAACTCGACGAAGCCGACCAGGTAGCTCTCGTGACCCTCGCCGCGCACGTTGGCAACGACGCGCGACAGGACGCCATTGGAGGCGCGGACAATGGTGGCTTCGATGTCCTCGAGCTCGATACGGAAACCGCGAAGCTTGATCTGGGTGTCACCAGTGATGCGGCCAAGGACAACGAGGGTGCCGTCGTCCATGAGATAACCCTTGTCACCGGTGCGGTAGGCGCGGTTCCAGCCCTTGGCAACGTGAACAGAGGAGGCATTCTTGTCCTCGATGAACTTCTCGTTGGTCAGGTCGGTGCGCTTGTAGTAGCCAACGGCAGTACCGGCACCGCCAATGAGGATCTCGCCCTGGACGCCGGTGGGGACAACATCAAGCTGCTTGTCCACGATGTAGAAAGAGTAGTTGGGAAGAGCAGGACCGGCCGGGATGAGAGTAGACTCGGAAGGATAGTCAATGGGCTGACGAGTACACCAGACGCTGTTCTCGGCAGGACCGTAGCAGTTCTGGATCTTGAGGTTGGGCAGGTTGAGCGTGGCAAAGGAGTCACGCAGGGTAGCGTTCCAGCCCTCGCCACCAACGTTGGCGCGGCGCCAGCTCGTGGCCTTCGACAGGGTGGGAGCGGCATAGTTGATCCAGTTGGAATACTCGGACGGGGTAGCCATGGTGTAGGTGATCTGGTTGTTCGCGATGAGCTCAGCCATGGCTTGGGGGTCGGAGCGCTGGGCCTGGGAAGCGACGTAGAGGTTGCCACCGTTCACGAGAGAGGT